AAAGGCGTGCAGGTGCAGTGCCACGCAAGTCGATAACAAACGGCGTCAGGAAGCCAGTTAACGGAAGAGCTGATTTGCACCCCATCGGGGGGTTGGAGGGCTTATTTGCCACTTTTTTTGTTCAGGATCTTATCACTTGCTGTCGAAAAAGTTGAGGGGCTTAAGATGGGTTTTTGCCATAATTATGTTATTTTCTTTATAAAGATTGATTTTTTTTTTGAAGTTACTTTCTGCTTTAACCCCAAAAAACTTATTTTTCTCTGTTATAGTATGAGATTGGTAGCAATTCAAAAAATGGCATCATGCATCTTGAACCATATCTAAAATCTAAGCAAACCAAAACTCAGAATTTAATATGTTGTTTACCCATGTTGGATATTGGGTTTGCTAGCCATCATCTCGAAGAAGGGTGGACCGTGGATTTTGTTAGGCGGCGTCGGTAGCGACGTTGGGTTTGATTGAAGTTAGGGTTTGCAGTAGAGATGAATTTTTCTAACTTGTCATGAATTTCTTGTTTCATTCAGTCAAAATATCCCATGAATTCCCTATTATTAACGTTACTTTGCAGTTGAATAAAGTACCCAGAGTCAACCGGTGCCGAGGAACTCAGAATCCGTCGGTACCGGCGAAGAAGATGTCTTGAAGAACAGCTTCAGATTCCCTCTGTTGTCTATTTTGGACACAAGTAATAAATATATGGTTTTTTTTATAAATTTATATTAAAAATATTAATTTTTAATTGATAAATCACTTAATTAGATTAATTTATATAATAATGATATTAAAATTAATATAAATTTTTATATTTTCTTATAAAAATTAACAATAAAATGATCTCTTTAACTGGTGTGGGTTAAAAAGATTTTTAATTTAATTAGACTTCTTTTTTCAAGTATAAATTTTATGGAAAAAGTTTCTGTCAATCTTATCTTTTAAAAATTAAGAAAAAAATCATCTGAAAATTACATCGTTTTAATAATTTTTTATTAAAAAAAACTAAATTACTTTATTTTTAAAGCATGTATTAAGATAACTTTTATTATTTTTCTTCTTAATTTTTGAAAGATAAAGCGAATAAGTACTAACTCTAAATTTTATTTTATTTTATTTTATTTATGAACATTTTATTAAACTGAACAGTAATGAATAACTTAATTACATAAACTTATGTATTAACTGGGACCATTTCTTTTCTCAAGTGGGACCCACTCTGAATACTTTAAGCCTTAAGGTCAATGCTCCTGTCAACTAACAATTTACTTTTTTAGCAAAAATATTTTGTAGGTTGATTCTTATTTTTTTTTGAAAGATTTAATTAAAATTTTATTTTTTAATTAATATTCTTAAAAATTAATAATT